CTTGTTGTTTTCTGTCGTAACGACGTCTGCCCTGAGCACCCTTACGCTCCTTGGACTTCTTGTATTGTGTCACCTTGTGTGGCTTGTGGCACTTGCACTTTTTGCAAAAGGTGCGTCGCTGTTTCGGCACATTCACCTAAAATTCAAGCAAAATTTCATAATTAGCACACTTCAACACAATTCCAATAAGCAACATATCAAGGAAAATTCTAAACACTAACGTAGCATCGCAAATATAATCATGCAAACATTTTTCAATTAACATAGATATACCAAAATATTGGTATTTAGTTAAGGATTCGTTTAAAACACTAATTTACACATTATGTGCGAATATTTTTGCGATGCACCGCGATTTTTATATAGAATTTTATTTCGATTTTCCGCAAAACGTACCATCTTGACGATTCTTGGTTGTCAAAGAAAGAGAAGAAAAGGAAAGGAGAAAGAGTAAACGGAAACAATACAACTGTCAGATGTCAAAATATATAAACAGAATAAGTAAACGTCAAAACGGAGACAATGAAACACAGCTACAGGTTTGCATGGCATATCTGCTGATAGAATACATTTAGAATGTGAATATCTATAAAATTAAAAAAATATATATTCCTTTTTTCGAATATTTTGAAGAAAAAATATTTGTGAGAATAAATAGGATCCACTATTTCTCTCTTTGGGAAATATGTGCATTTTAAGTCGAAAAAAATATCTGTTGGCACATTTTTGGTTAATGGGGGGTTAATTAAGGGGTTACGTGGGTTTTGAAATTTCCAAAAACCGTTTTATTTTTTTTTAATATTATGATATATCTAGAATATTTTTTCATGGTTTCAAGGTAATTGCAATAAAAGTGCAGTTTGGGAGAGCTGCCCTGCTAAATAGGCCGGTCGGCTGCTTCAATCCTTGATCGTGTATTTCTCGAAACATCGTTTTCGAAGTTTGTGGTCACGATTTATCAGAAACTAGAACTCTTTTTGAAATCTTTGGAAAATTTTCTAAATAGAATAACCAAGTAATTGATCGAAGAGTTTAATTGTCGGTTAAAACTAATTTTTCAAGACAATTTATTGTAAAAATTATAACTAAAATAACACTATTTTGTTTCAACTTTACAAAAAATCAATATTTTCAAATCCTTCTATTCATCACGGCCTATAGTTATCTAATCGATGACATTCTGTATTGTGATGTTTCATGAATCGTCTGTCACGCTAGCCACTGCCAGGAGACTTGTTGTGTGATGTCTCCAGAAACCCGTTGCCAATCCCTGAAATTCCAAAATTTTTTGTAAAAACTTCAGAATATAATATCTAAATATTGTTTTTTGTTTTGCACAAAGATTTTACCAAATTAATGCATTTATTATATGAAAAAAATAGAATTTTTTCGGCCCTCAGAACTCATCACCTGACCTCTCAATGATATAGGCAGTTTGAGGAATCAATATTATTAATAATAATAATAATACCCTACGATTACCCTCCTCCCGCCCAACCGATGCGCGGGGCGTAATCCGCAAACGAGCGGAATTAGCCGAGTCATAAAAGGCAAAAGATTTTTAAGTATTAAATTTCGATTGTGGAGTAATTAAAGAAGAGGGTGACCACCAACAATATACCGAAGCGATTTCGAACGCAATTAACTTCAGACATGTACGGAGCGCCATTCTGTGAACACCTTCATCGACTTTCTCCCAGTGAATGACATCCTTGGAGTCGAAATACTCCCATTGCAGACTGTGAGCTGGATACTGTAGCAAATTAAACTTCTACTTCTCCAGAAAAGTTCTTATCATACCAAACTTGCGTCCTGCATACAAAGAGTCGCCGAATGACACTAACCACCTCTTTACATGCCACACAAAACCCACTCACTTGACATCTTTCTTTCCATCCGAAACTGATTGTTTCCCTGGCCTACCAATAAATGCTTTCAACCATACTTGAGAGCTTAGGAACTCGCCACAACAACAACAACTGGAAAATAAAATTGTTTCAAGTTTTACTATTTTTTCCACTTCATCAAAAACAATTATACTCGAATAACTTAAATTCGAAAAATTTTAAATTCTAACTCAGAATTTCCTTACCATAATTTGAGAAAATCATTTGAAATTGTAATCGTTAAACGATATTGAAACTTTTTGGAATTGTTCATTGTTAAAATGGAACGCATTTGCTTGTTGAGCCTATTTAGGTATAGTAATAATAATTTATTTTTCTGTGGTCAGAATTTACAGAATCTTCCTTTTAAATCCTTCAGTATCATTTTTCCCTCATTACTATTTTCCTTGTAAAAATTATATTTTGCACTAAACGACCTTTAGCCATGAGCCATCCACTCATAAACACATTGCTTTGTGAATATTCTTAAGATACATACAAGTACATACATACATATATTAAATTATTTTTGTACATATACATACATACATATATTGTAGGTATGTATGCAAATGTAACATGAAATATGTAAACACATCTATATTCCTAACACAGGTAACGAAATTTACAATTTTTACCTTGAGAAGATTTTCTTCTGAAACGATCACATATTGAAGGAAGTAGGTATTTTTCGTCACCTGAAATGCAAAATAACGTATCATCAAAATATTCGAAATTGAGTGTCTTATTGATTAGGCTTCATTACTTTAAATTACATACATATTTTCAACATTTTCAGGTTCTGCGCTCAGATATAAACCAGTTTTAACCAATATTAAATTCTTTTTCACTCATGTTCCATTTTATTTTGAGTTTCATTCATAACACTTTAAATTTCCCAAAATGTTGTTACGTTATTTTGCATGTCAGGTGACGATTTGTACATGTGAACATATAGTACATGTACATACTATATGTGTGTAAGTGTGATCTCTAAAGGAAATTTATTGAAAATTCTGGAAAAGTTGAACAGTTGAACTTTCATTCTATAAGTCCAAGTTCTCTATACCTCGAACTCTTGAATTGTCAATAGCATTTAGAATTAAAATTTCATACAAATTTCCTTCCCAAAATCAAACTTTAAAATTGGCACGTGATTCTGTAAGTCACCTTTTTCGGGGATATTCCACTTCACAGGCAACTGATCACGTAGAAGTCGCCGCACGTATTTATTCCTTCAAATGTTTATATTACAGATTATTGAAGTGGACTATGAGATATGCTCAACCGGATTTATAATAGCTGATATTGTAGAACCGAATATTTCAGACCGAATGTATATTACCTACTTCTAGCGCCATGGAAAATGATGAGATTCCTGATGAAGGAACTATTAAAACGCCATCCAAAAATGATGTCAAGTATTCCTTTGCAATTTTAAACTCTTTTTAAAATACAAAAATTTGTCTTTATATACAAAAACAAGCATTTAGTTCCTCAAATTGATTAAAAATGTATATAACTTGCAAGGTGACCAGGACAATCTAACAATAGAATCCCATAAAAAGAATGCCATATATTGAAGTTACGGGTAGGAACATAACGCTTTAAGAATTTCCATGAGTTGAACACTCTTCAAAAGCCATTAAGAGAAGTAATACCAACAAAAATGCTAATAAATTCTAAGCTTAACTGAGGGCAAACTATATTATAAACAAACAAAAGCTTTAACTTCGGTTGCACCGAAATAATAACACCCTTCACAAATACAAAAGATTCCTTACAAGAACTTTAATCAGTCAGTGTGTAAGGCAGTTATGTGCTATAGTGACTCGATATGAATAATTTCTTGGGAGATTGTACATTGCCTTTAAAAATTACCCATGCAAAATTTCTTAGAAATATATTATATCAACAAATGAGAAAGCTTTCCGTACAAACACTTGACTCCGATCGTTCAGTTTGTACGATAACAATATGCTATAGTGGTTTGATATCGGCAATTCCGACAAATGAATAGCTTCTTGGTGTGAAAAGAGCGGGTATAAAGTTTTAGATCGATATCTCAAAAAATGAGGGACTATTTCTCATATATGTACATATACTGATAGACGGGCGGACACACAGATGGACATGGCTAAATCAACTCAGCTAGTCACGCTGATCATTTACATATATGTAGGTACGAGTATATACTTCATAAGGTCTATCGTGTCAAACTTAATATATTCTATTCAGGATATATGTATGTAACAACAGTTTCATTAAAAAAATTGAAGTTACTCCTTTCGAACAAGCAATTAAGGGAGCAACTAGTGTTAAATATCGAACAAATTAGTATTTTTTTGTTGCATATTTTGATACTCTTAAACATAAAAAAGGCGTTTTAAAATTTTAAATAAATATTTTAAATATTATTTCAAATAGTCCCATCAGTTTATCTTTAAACGCCTTTTTCTCAAAACAACATTTCCAAATGTGCTTGAGTGATTACTCGTAGACAAATGATCCGATCACTATAGAATACTTTCTGCATGTTCCGCATTACGACCAAAAATTTTGTTACTTTTTAAAATGTGTGTAAATAGGTACATACATATGTATATACCTAAAATTTTAAATCAATTGATTCAGTAGTTTTTTTTAATTCCCACAAATTGATTTTTAGGCTCTCACACTGGATGTGCCCCTTAAGAAGTTTTTATTTCTTTCTTTTTAATTTTTAAAATTTTTATTCATGTTTTTATTGTTCAGAAATTATATAACACGTTTGCAGGGGTCGTCATCAAAACGAGGGTATCTTATCCGAGGCTGTTTTCTTCAGTTCATTGGTAGGGTTTATTACGTGGCGAAATGTATCGCCTTCTCACTTTAGCTCGCCTTCAAACGGATGTTTTTTGGCTACCCATATGTATGGGTATATATGCATGTATATGACGTACACACTGACTGACTAGATCATGTCGTCCGAATGGATAAAAACAATGCAGCTGCAGAAACTATTCGATGCAGTACCCGCCGGGGGAAGCAGGGAAAGAGGAAGGCCTCCACTCCGTTGGAAAGACCAGGTGGAGAAGGATCTGGCAGCACTTGGAATCTCCAATTGGCGCGCTGTTGTGAACTCGGCTATAACCGCGTGGTGTGGCGATGGTGTCTACGCCAATAAAGAAGAAGAAAAAAGGAAATAATGTATGAAATACCCATTCCATATTATTAAGCAGTGAAAACTTAAACTTAAAATTTTTTTTTAAACAAATTTGTTAAACCATGTATTACCTTTTGTCTTTTTTTTGTATGGAAATGATATTCCTAATTTTGTTATTCACTATATGCCAATTTTTTGTTGTAAAAAGTCAGCGTGTCTGGGAAATGGTATGCACAGCTTATTGGAATTGTTTAGACACTCCTGTATGCAAACTCGATCTGTAAAGTAAATTCTAAATAAACATATGCTTGTACATACATAGTACATAGACACAAAACACTTTTTGGATTTTGTAAAAGCTCACAATTTAAATTTTTTACTGCTTATTACTTATTTATCTGATTCCATCTTTACAAATGCAATTATTAGGTATAATGTAGGATGTCCAACTTATTTCAGCGTGGTGGCGCCTTAAAATTTACGCTTTGTATAACATTTTCCATTGTGGCCAGATCGTACAAAATAATTATTTTTGGGCATTTAAATTAAAACACTCAACATTTATTTCGATTAAAAATTAAACTTAAAGATTAAGATTTAATATCTTTGACTATTAAATTTTTTGTGGTATATTAAAACAACTGAGTTGATCTTTCAATACTTAATAACGGTATTTAAGCTTGTTAGCTCACAATTAATAAATGCTTTTAAAAATTTTTCAATGAAAATGAATACTATGATGCAACACATTTCAAAACTTTTAATCAAATAAATTTAAATTTCACGTTTCCTTTAATTAACTTCTTTTTTTTTTATTATGTAGTGGTTTTGAACGATGTTGTGATCAAATTGCAAGGTGAATTTTTAATTTATACTTCGCGTATTTTTCGAATCTATAATTTTTTTACTGTTGGTGACATCTATGATAAGTTTCATGTCAAAGTATTCATTAGTAATTTTAGTTACGCGTCGTTTTGTGAAGCTCTAAAAGCGAATTCTACGATTTTTACTATGGCTTAAATTATTAAACAAAGAAGTGCGATAATGCATCATCTCATACACATTTTCAACTAATGTCGTAACGCAACCACCGCATTCGCCTGATTTACCTTCGTGTAACATCTGGCTATTCAGCAAATTCAAATGACCACTCCGAGGACATCGTTTTGACTCAATTGAGGATATAAAGGCTGAATCGAAGAAGGCTCTGATTTCCATTCGTCTGTATAAGTGTATTACTTTGAAGGAGATGAAATGAACAAAATTCACCTTTCAATTAGATCACAGTATAGAATTCCTCCGTTTGCATCTTTTTTGTTAAAATGTCAATCTGGCCATCCCCCGTTTCCAATTGCTAAACGTCAAAACCTCCGGTACTTTGACAGTTGAGTTTGCACGTGAATGTTTTGGCAGCAGAGAGCGTCACTTGCCGGTCGGCTGACTTTGTATTTGTGTATGTGTATGTGATCCTATGCCGTACATATTGACCACAACAAAAGCGAATGGGGTAGCCTTCTTATATTTTATATGCACATGTACATATTCATATAGCTTAAGAAGAAAAGTATTAATAACTAAGGAAAGAGAAGATATTCAGTGAAAAAGTATGGTGATTGGGTTTACCTTACTCTCTCACCAAATTTATGTACAGGTATAAATAAGGGATGCCATTTAGCTGAAAGGAAAATGTATTGAAAATTCTATGTTAAAAAATTTAAATTTTTAGAACTTTGGTACATATGTATATAGCGTGTGATTACCAGAATCTCTATACTTTTCATTAAATATTATACCGAAAGTTCAGGACAAGGTGTTTTGTTGATATACATACATATGTATGTACATACATATATAGCCCCATCTACGATTGTTCATTTGAATCTAAACTTGCTAACAGACTAAAGTGAACGTCTCTTGTTCTTTTTTATTGGCGTAGGACAACTTACCATGATTATAGCTGAGTTTACAAAAGCGCGCCAATCGTTTTTCCTCTTCGCCAATTGGAAACTTCAAATGTAATCAGGTTCTTCTACACCTGGTCTTTCCAACCATCTATTTGAACGACATGCCCTTGACAGCGTAGCCGCTGTCTCTTAATACGCTGAACTATTTCATCCCGTCGTATAACTCGTACGGCTCATAAAGTGCATTTCTCACAGTCTAGAAAAAATAGGGACAGTAAGTGTTTAATATCAAATAATTTTCTTACAAAATCAGATACACTGGACATTAGTAAATTACATGCAAAAGATCCTCTGGCACCTGATATTTTATGTTGTTATTGAAAGAGGAGTTCTAGATTTCAAATACCTTTACTTCCCACTCCTTTGAGTCATTAGAATCGAAAATCGTCTCTTGAGAAACTTGAAAAAAATATATATGCTAACCCTCGCGGGAGACCATTCATTTAGGAAAATCATTAATGAAATTTTTGTATAGACCTGTGTTTTTCTATTGTGTTTGGCATTTGTCGAAAAATCGATTAGAAAATCTAGCTCTAATACAGGTCAGGATAAATTAGAGAGTATTCATTCATGTAGGGAATGAAATAGTTTTTTTTTTTTTTTACTTATGTTGTTTCTGTTGTTGTAGCGCATAAATTCTGCCCAGTGGACAGTCCTTGGCCGGATAAAAATTCAGGTCCGTTTCGGTTACGTAAACCCGATCGTCGTGGTAACGGGTTTTTACTAATGTCCCTTTTTATGGTACAAAAATGACCGAAAACAGGATTCAAGTTTTTATGGAAATAAAAAACTAATTGAATATTAGTTCAATAAATTTATTGCTTATTAGTGTGTATTTCTGCCATGAAAAATACTCTCATAAATAAAACATGGCAGCCCTGCATTAAAAGAAAATTCTCTAATAATTCCAAAAGTGGCTTTTTCTGTTCATGTTCTCCCATGACACCAATAAGCAAAGTGAACGAGCTCTTGTACAGACGTACCAATTGTACATATGTATGTTTGTAATGCATACTATGTAAATATATATTTTAAGTACTTTTTATTTTCTTTTAAGTTGAGCAAGATGATGGACAGAACTCATTCACTTATTCATGATTTGCGTTCTAAGAATATGTCTTCAGCATACAGACAGAATGTTTTTAATTAAATATATGCAGTACGTATGTATTTTTTGTGTAAATAACCGATTTGCCACGCCACAGCTCCATCTGTACCCTCTTGCCGTCCGATGGAAGGATGCCAGGAAGTATTCTTACATTCTGCAAAAACGATTAATTTGTTTAGGTCTTCGTATGCACACTTCCATATCATATGAAAACAACAGAATTTCGTTGAAATTAACAAAAACTACAACAAATTTGCTCCCTAATTCGTTATACCATTTCTGCGATGAACAGAATATGCGCCGCTGTCTCCGTAGGGGCTTGTAGCTAGCGGAAGCGGAAAGTAATTTTTAAGTATCTGCACATACATATGTACATTTGTATGTATTTTATGTGTACATATGTAAATAGAGCAGATGAACTTTTGAAGTGGTCGGTGAAGATAGCTGTTTTAACGATGGTTTCGCTAATGAATGAAGAACATTAATAGTTTTGATGATTTTATTACTATGAAATAAAAATATGTATGTATTTGTGCTCTAATTTGGGCCAAACTAAATGTTCTTTATAACAGTATAGGTTATGAAATTCACAAAAAATAATAACCATTTTTCCAGAGTGCAGATAGATTGGCTAGGTATGATGCTCTTGCAATATGTTCCTAGGGAGTCTAACAGTTTTCTTCACCTAACGGTTGTTTTTACGATGCCATGTTAAGATGGCAAGGAACGGCTTTATGTAGGCTGGTGTAAAATTTGGACACCGCCACTTTTAGGCGAATTTCATATGTGACGTTAACCAACCATTTCTCTGCATAAACAAATCAAATATCAATAAAGTTGTTAGAGTACAACTTTGCACAAGTAGTGTATTGAAGGTATTTAATACAAAAAGTTGTCGAAATCGGATTACAAGTTGTGCCAAAAATGGGTAAAATCGGTTTAACACTTACCATATATGTATATGTATGTATAATATAAATATTTCCGATCTTCCCGTTCACAAGAAATCTTAAAAATTCAGAAAGAATGTATGAAACTATAGCGATTCTTTTGAGTTCAATTTCAAGTTTTGCCAACTCCTGAAGGCATGAAGTGTGGAAAACAAGCTTTGATTCTTGCAATTTGCGGATGTATAAAATACTCGGTTACACCCGCACTTAGCCCTTACTTACTAGTTAACAAGAAAAAACGTTAACTTCAGCTGCATCGAAGCTAATATACCCTCCACACTTGCATTTCTTTTAGTAACTATATGTTCAGTTTGTATGGAAGCTATATTACAGTAATCCGAACTGAACAAATTTTTTGTAGATTATATTATTACATTAAGCAGTAATCCATGTTAAATTTCGTGATGATATCACGTCAAATGCGAAAAATTTCCATACAAGCTCTTGATTCCGATCGTTCGGTTTGTATTGCAGCTATATGCTATCGTTAGCCGATCTGAACAGTTTCTTCCGATATTACATTATTTCTATGAACAATAACTCATACCAAATTTCGTGAAGATATATCGTCAAATGAGGAAGTTTCCCATACAAGCATTTGATTCCGATCATTCAGTTTGTATGGCAGCTATATGCTATAGTTAACTGATCTGTACAATTTCTACGGAGATTACATTGTTGCTTTAGATATTAATCTATACCCAATTTCTTGAATATATCTTGTCAAATGCAAAAGTTTTCCATACCAGCACTAGATTCTGATCGTTCAGTTTGTATGGTAGCTACGTATATGTTATAATGGTCGATATCGGCAATTCCGTCAAATGAGCAGCTTCTAGAAGAGAAAATGAAAATTTCAAATCGTATATATACAGACAGGCGGACAGACAGACAGACAGACGGACATGGTTAAGGGGTTAAGTGGGTTTCAGAGGTACAAAATAAAGCTATTTTACGATTTTTTTTAATACAAGCAATCATATATTTGAAAAATATAATATGTTATATCAAAGGTATATATTCGAACAATATCTCCTGAATTTTCGATACAAAAATGTTGAAAATTCCGCCGTTGAGACCGCATTTCCCTGGGTGTCTCTCAAAAAAGTGCTCTCGCCGTGGACAGCAAAACTTATTATTGTTTCATATAAAATTAAAAAACTAAGCATATTCTGTTAGTACATACCTAAATCTCGTTTTGGAACGTGGAAAATTAAAACTGTCATTCTTTTCTCGGACTTTGAACAAAAAATCTCATTTTTGGTAAAATTTTCCGCATTTCTTGGTCAGAAAAATAAGTTGTAATGAAACAAGAAAAAATGCTTTGTTCAATAACTAGATAATATTATTTCTAAAACGTGTACACAATACGAACTAAATCGGTCGATAACTTTTCGAGAAATCGTGTCCACGGGCTTCAAAAGCACAGTTTGGAGCAAAACGCGTTTAAAGACAGGGCTTAGCGCAGCTAGCCTTGAGTGCACAAGTTCTCAAGGCTGTATCTCTGAAATTATTACTCAGATGAACTTTAAAATTTAAGACTTTCTTCTAGAGGTATTGTAGAAAAAATCGATTTTTGGAAATTTTCTCAACACACTGATCCTTTATATATGTACATATGTATGTATATGTATACTTTATAGGATCTCCAACGCTTCCTTCTGGGTGTTACAAACTTCATGGCAAACTGAAGAAAAAAATTAAATATTTTTCGAGTTAAACGCGATCTTCTTCGGCGCAAAAGCAAAAGTCATCCACTGCTGCACTGATTCGGAACTACTCCATATATGAAACTTAAACAAAAATTGTAATGGAAAATTGTGTCCGTAATGTCCTATGGTCGACAAAACTTACGCGGTTATAGTCGAATTTACAACAGCGCGGCAGTTGTTTCTTCTTTTCGCAATTTATTGCTATTTCGAGATACCAATTGCAGCCATATCCTTCTCCACGTGATCTCTCCACCGGAGTAGAGATATTCCTCTTCCTTTGCTTGCCCCGGCGGGTATGTGTTGAATACTTTCAGAGCTGGAACTTTTCTCTCAATTCGCTGAACTATGCCAATGCCATCGTATAAAACATATAGCTCATCGTTCAATCGAGTGTGATATTTGCCGTGGCCAATGCGCAAAGGACCATAAATCTTCCGCAAAACCTTTCTCTCTCATAGAGTTTATGTTCGTCGAGAGACAACTTTTATTCTCAATTGCCTACTCAGTCAGAAGTAGCACCTGTCGACAACAGTTATTCTGTATTGGATTTCGACACATTGTTCTTGCTGTTAATATTGGTTCCAAAATAGACGAAATTATCTACAACTTCAAAGCTATGACTGTCAACAGTGACGTGAGTGCCAAATCGCGAGTGCGACGACTGTTTGTTTGATGACCGGAGATATTTCATCTTGGCCTCGTTCACTACCAGACCCATTTCCTCCGCTTCCTTATCCATTCTGGAGAAGCAGAACTAACGGCAGTACTAAAAAAAAGGGTTTCGACTAAAAATAAAAAGGATTTCAGTTCTCATCTGATTCTCCAATTCATCAATTTTCAACGTGATAGTGTGTATTAAAATATACCCATTTATATATGAACGTTGATGTTATCCACCAAATAAAAGTACCTATAACTATATATTATAACAGAAATGCGTTCGTTTATTTGTCATTACCGATCGACGGGGACTGGTTTCAAAAATTAAAGCTTTTTCTTAATGTTAGTCGGCTTAACGAAAATAGTGTGCTTCAACTTTGACCATATCATATATCAACAATTGTTTTCATCATCCACAGATTTTCGAAGTACAATATTTTTCGGTTGGTATATTAAGGCTTTTAGCTGAAGTTCTTGGTAAAAATACTCAGCTTCAGATGTGTAGATACAGGCGAGAAACATACTCTACAACAACCCCCAATTGACTATCAGTGGATAGGTTAGTGGTTCAAATAACGGATGCGATAATCATAAAAAGCAGCAGAAGCTCTTACACCATTATGCAGCTTTTTTGTTTTCATGATGATGTAAAGTTGCTCCTTCTCTCATTTCAATTTCCACTCCAATAAAAGTTCTGTTTTATGATAAACTTTATTATATACTCGGAAATTTGTTGTAAGGGTTATAATACTTGATCTGCAGTTGA